CCTCCACGGGCCAAAAACAAAACTCACGGCAAAAGCAAAAACTCACGGAACATGCACAGTGGCCTTGCACCGTGACCTTGATGCAACAGGATTTGCTACCTGTTGTATTTTAAGTTTTGAAGGGGTCTTTCAAAAAAATGAACGTAACGATGGCCACTGAACCCTTAACTTCAACTCGTTGACGAATCTACATAACATGGACTATGATCTAGAGAGATGAAGCAACCCCCGTTGAGCAATGAATCGCTACGGATAGATCAACCTGGCTTTGATACCTTGTTAGAATTTGTGGAAGCATAGAATGGAGAGTGGAGAGAGAAGAAGAGAGAACACGACATTTACGTGGTTCAGGCCCAAGACTTGTGTCAACGGATCTAAAGCCCAACGGGCTACATCTTCACTATTTTTCGATGAATGTTTACATCAAGAAGTACCCGAGAAATCCATATCCTAACAGGAAGTGGGCATGCTTGCTCAACTGATCTGCCACTATGAAGATAATTATTGTCTTCCCATGTGAGTTTCGACACTGTTCAAGAAGTCCATTGAGATATCACTCCAGTCTATGTGGGAATATGGAGGGGTTATAATATACTTGGGGACCCTACTATCTCTCTCTTTTGCCTCTGACACACGTCACATTCAACTACAGATTTGTATGTCTCGCTTGATCCCTCTCCAATAAAAGGACTTAAACCTTCTCTTCTAAATTTTGGGGAATGCTGAATGGCTCGCAATAGGGGATCTTTTGTAGCTCCTTGAACAATATGTTTCTATAGAGGGATTTAGGTGGCAACACTATTCTACCCTACATTCCTCCAACTGCAATTGGGCCTTGCCTTCCTATGGGTTCTATTTGCAGGTCTTGTGCAAGGTCCCTTAAAGTTCCATCAACTGCCCATTCTTACTTAATTTCTTCCATTCGAAGAGATCGAGGCATTGATACACAGCAAGGAGAGTAGCTGCCACTTTGTGATGTTGCGAGTGAGCATCAGCCACCACATTCTCCTTTCCTCTCATAGTCGTGTAGCCCTTCTGACCTACTTTTGTCTCCATCATTTAGAGGTTCTTTGTTCCAAGAAATATTTTATGCCCTGATGATAGGTATGAATGATGAATGATATGAGGCTCTATTAGTCGATTAAGTAAGGCTTCCATTTGGTAACTACATGAATAATGGTTGGCAGTTCTATATCATAGTTGTGGGAACCTTGGGGTTAAGGCCACGGTCCCACCATAGGAACTCGATCTCGTTGTTCCTTTGAGGAATCTTAAAGGGAGCTGGATTTAGAGATATAGGGATCTTGCCCCTTATGAAATGGGATATCGGTTTTCATGATTGTAGAATCCCTTCAAGGAGATGAGATATAATATTAAACTATGGTGCATATCACATTGTGGTATACTAGAATTATGGTATTAAAAAACTATATGTTAATAACATAGTAAGCCAATTTGTGATATCGTTAAACTATGTTATTGTAGTAAATTGGAGTACTATGACTATGGCATTAGTAATAAGCAAAGGTGTATGATAAAGGATTCAGCAAGCATTAGCTCGATCCTAATTTTATCATATGCTATTAATTGATATCTTTTTATGTGTAATGGAGCTTAGATCCTCCAAGTCAAAACCTTGAACCCAGTGACATGGGATCTCACTCCCAGGTATCTTAGGATCTAGCTCCTTAACATGTTGAATGTACGAACGCCGATCCTAACCATATGGAGCTTCCACCCTGTGGGGGTTCGGTGTTCCTCGAACCAATCCCGCTTCTACACCCGAACCCACTCCCGCCTCCAACAAATATATTCTATATCAATGTGGAAAGTGTTGTGCTGTTTCCAGAAAGAGCCTTACGAATGCAAGCCAAGGGTTGCCCCTTTTATATGGATACCATGCCTCTTTTGTCCCTAATCCGTATGGCTCAATGATGAATGGGTTTGAGAAGTATTGCAAGGATGATACAACTACAGTGCTCTTCGCTCTCTTCAAGGCATTAGAGGCAAACTAGGCCTTATTTGATTGATCAGGGAGCTGATTTTGCCATAGTCCTTCACTAACTTCATTCAATCCAATGAGTCTCGAAAACTTACTCTTTTCGAAATATCCTCCTTTATTTGGATCTGACGGTTTGAGACTTTGGGGATCAAAGATCAACTTTGGAGAAGTGTTGAACTCCATAGTGCTCACCTAGTAATTCATCAATCACTGGTATAATTTATCCTTGACCATGATTAAGTCCAATGCTCTGAAGTCCACAGTCCACTTTCATTCTCCATGAGCCATCCTTTTTTTTTTGTTTGACCAAGAGCACTTTGTGAGGAACAAGGGGCATGACCCAGAATGATAATGCCTACCCTGTCATTTTCTGGACTTGCTTTCCAATCTTTGCTTTTTGCACAAATGGGCTCATGCCGTTTTTTTTTGACCAAGAGCACTTGTGAGGAATAAGGAGCACTTGTGAGGAATAAGGACATGACCCAGAAGGATAATGCCTACCTCTGTCATTTTCTGGACCTGCTTTCTAATCTTTGATTTTTGTACAAATGGCCACATATGGCCGAATGTTAGGTGATGGGTTCTTGAAAATAAAGTAATTGGATGATAATAAAAGTGTTGGGGAGGCAACTCCAGTTCAGTTCATCGAATAGGTTGGTGATGGGGTTCTTGGAAACAAAGTAATTGGATGCTAATAGGAGTGTTGGGGAGGCAACTCCTTCAGTTCATCTAATAGGTTGAAATGTTGCTCATGTAATGACACCACAGGTGCTCCACCTCTTTTATGCACAGGTGGGTCACCTTCTTCTCGTTTTCCTTCTTTCTGATTTTAGCATCCAACAAATATAACTTCTGATTTTTGCATCAATGTTGAGGGTTATTTTATTTACACAATGGTAACATTGACTAATTCCTCGCCCTTCTCGCATCTAGGCCGATGATGCTACTTGATTTGTGGAAAGGGTTGCTGTGTAAGAGTTCTGGTTATGGGAACTGCAATTTCCTTTGTTTTGACATTGTTGGGCCATTGTTTTGTCCTGTTGAAGTCTAGCTAAACCAATAGCCTCCAATAATATTTTGTGCTTAAACATACATACGTCATGCCTAATCTATTCATTAAGAATCATATAAAAACACGACATCACTAAGACAGATGGTACTATTTGCTAACCTATCTGATTTTCATGAACAGTGGAGGTTTGTCATTTTGCTTCGTTTGGGCTCTTTTTAATGTCCTCTATTTGGCCTGGGGTGAACTTATTGTAGAGATCATTGCTCATATTATAGTAACTGTTGGTCCTTCATTACCATTGGTACCATCATATTGCTTCATGCTCCAACTGAAAGGATGCCTAATGGGCCGTTTGTTCTTCCTCATGATACACACTTGTTGGGTCCCCCTTTTGTTTTTTGTTTTCGGTGGAAGTTTGATGTGGGCTTCCTAACTGATCACCGTTTTGTTCATGGGTGATTAGGAAGGTCGACTTCCTGTTGGACGTTAGGAAGGAGGTCAAAATCGAGTTATATTTTCGGACCATGGCTTATATCATGGTCAGGATGTCTCCAAATGAGTCGAGACTTCTTCATCTCTTGCTCTTTCTTACTTCTTGCGATTAGTTCCCTTGGCCATGGTTGAGCAGAAGATCCATGGTTGAGCTCTGTTACCAGATGCAATGATTCCCAAGAAGAAGCAAGCAAAAGATAACGATCAGAGATAGACGAGCATGAGATATTATTGAACTATAAGGATGGAGAGGGCACAGGCCCCTTCGAGGGGGCAATTCTCCTCGAGAGACATACTCAAAGTTCATCCTACAGCAGTCCTAGTAGTCATCGAGAGAAACTCCCCTTCATATATCACCACTTCAGTCCTAAATAACTCCTAGCCATTTATTGAATTTTTACACTGGTCAGCTTTTCAATTTCCAAGTTTCAAAGAAACTAAAAGACTCCTACCAAGCTATTGAATTTCACACCCCCAAAGTCGTCAAAGGCATCATTACACTTTTTCCCACTTCTACGAAGACTCCTACCAAGCTTTCCTTTTTACAATCTACACTTCTACTTCATAGAGAACAAAGGGTACGAAAGTTTATATTTGATTCACCCTTTCATCAAATATTTGTTTCAAATCTTTGGATTTGGAAGGTATGGCATAATACATCATTACCATGGACCATGGTTCCTCGTAAGTTTCTTTCACTCTGTTCCTGCAGTAGATGATGGTTGGAGAATACCTGGGTTTATGTCCTGATGGTGATCCACTACAATTACAAACAAGGTGTCTTAACATTAGGAATCAGGCTTGGGCCAAGGCAGTAGCAGCTGGGTTTTTTTTGCACTACGTCTGAAGTTCCATTCCTATGTAACTTCGTCAAAAAAGAAAAAAAAAACAGGGTATATTAACATTGAATATTATAATCCATTTGACTATGGTGTATAGTTGCATGTTTAAAATTCTCTAGCCCTGATTTTTGGCCAAGTGCTTATGTGCCCTACCAAAATTTGATGGAATTTGGTAAAAAAAAAATTATATGCTCCTGCAGGAGCATATTGTACATTCACTCGCCCAGGTAAAATCCGTATCTATGATGAGTATTTTCAGGACACCGGGGTTTAACCACCTCAACCTACTGACTAGCCTTCAAAAAACAGAAACAAAATAACGCCATCTATGGGTGCATATAAAAAAGTCCTAACATTGATAGGAAGTACCCAAATGTCGGACAGCCAGATGAGTGTACAGAACCTCAAAATTTGTTTTTTCCTTTGACAATGCAATTTTGTTGCCAATACTTATTTGGTGATTGTAAAGTGAATGCCATATCAGTTCGACAAAATCCTCCTATGCGGTTTTTTTGCCCAAGGGAGATAGTTTAGAGTGTGCATTTGCTGGAGTACCCTGTATGCTTCTAAAACTAGGGACTAATTATTTGGGCTGAGTTGCCATATATTTTTTGTTGACGTGAATAAACTGTTATGTGCATGTTCTGTGAAGATCAAGCTTGCATCAGTGAAATTGGCAAAGAAATATATCAAAAGGGTGGCTTCTGAACTGGGAGCTGCCATGAGTCCTGAAGAGAAAGAGGAGTTGATTGTGCAGGGCGTCCGATTTGCTTTCAGGGTGCATCAGGTGAGCTTGTTTTGACTGCTCTCTCTCTCTCTCTCTCTCAAACTGTCTTAGAAACATTTATTCTTGCTTTTTTACTCGGGTGTTTCTTTCGTGTTTCAACAGTTTGCAGGAGGTTTTGATGTAGACACCATGCGAGCGTTTCAGGAGCTGAGAGAAAAGGCTGGTTCTTGTCATGCAGAGTGCGATGTTCAGCAAAACAAGCTCGTGTGCAGCAGCAGCAGGAGGTCTACACCTTGTTAATCCTGCCTTTTCATAAGTTTAACCCATTTTTTTGCAAGTTATCCCCTCGTTAGGAAATCTCTCTCTCTCTCTCTCTATTCTGAGTTTCTTCAGTGAAACGGGTCTGAGATACACCTACCATGTACTGCCCTTGCTGCACAGTCCAATGCCCATGAGCTTGGTCGAATACTTTCATCCTTTTTGTAGTGTTTGCATGGGCCCAATCTTGTATAGAGCTACGTCAACCATTCCGTTGCGGGCTCAAATTCAGTGTTCCATTCGTCTCTCTCTCTAGTCTCTACGCGCACCATGTCGAGATGCCGCTGATGTATCTATCAAGTGTTTACCCATGTAAATGGTGGTGTAATGCTCTCTATGTATCTTCCCCATATTAATGGAAATGGATGGCGTTCCCTTCCCTCCCGCTGATTTACCCCCTAAGAAATGTATCAAGGATTAGAAGGATAACAAAATACAAAAAAGTATATACAAAGAGACTATATCGTTTTAGCACAAGGAGATTCTAAAGATTTTGAATCGGGTGGTTGCGAGAATGTCATTGATTAGATTCAAATTTTTTTAAAAAAAAAAAAAAATCTGACACACTTAATAAACCATCCAATTTGGCATCTAATGGCTATGACTAAATATGATCTCCTTGTAACATAGGTAACTTGTCTTATAGTATACAATCCTATAAACAAAAGAATCATGTTTGTTATCAGTCTGCTCATACAATGTTTCTTATTTGAAATATCCATAACTATTTGTAAGTCCTAGTAAGGCTCAGGCCCTAAACAAGGCCGATGTTTGTACAAGGCTGAGGCCCTAAACAGTCAAAGTGAGGTGTGCCTTAGTGTCTAAATATGTTGTTTCAATACCGAAAATTTCTATGATTAGCTTGAAATTTATTTGCATCCCTAATTATAAAATTTAATACTTTAAAAATAGTATAGATCAAATATATCTATGAACATTGAAAATCTAGAAAATTGATAGTCTAGATAATGCATTATGAGATGCATTATTTTCAAGACTCGAAGTTTTTTTATGCTCATCTATCTCAATCCTCGATTCTCTTGTTACGTTTACTGCAAGACCTAAGTTCTCATATTATATACTATATAATATTGCATTTTAGTTTCTTTTTTTAATATATTTTTTAGCAAGATTTTAGCTTCTTTTGTTAATATATTTTCTAGCTTGCTGATCCTGATCCGGATCAATGAGTGGACAATCCAACCTATCAATCGAATTTTTAAAATACTAGTTCACACTCTAAAAACATTAATGGAAAGCTATGATCACTAAAGGTTATACCAATTCAAAAAATAATCGTAAATAAATTTCAGTACCATAAGAAATAAGAAAATCATAACCTTATTTGACAAATCCATGAAAAGGAAGAACAAAGCATCAAATTTTTTTGAATCATTTAAAAATTCATTGGAATAATACGAAAATACTCGATCTTTTCAAAATGTAAAAGCAAAAAGTTTATATAAGGTGACAACCTTATACTATTAAAATAAGGCGCAACCCAATAAATCTCTAAAAATGGTATAATTCTCTAAAAATGGTACAAATTATCTTGACTGTTCATTTCACCCTTACTTTGGTAAGGATGAAATTTTCCTGCATTATGGCAGAGAGCTCTCCAAGTGATTTGTCATCTTTCTACCTTATGGCATAGAGCTCTGCAAGTGTTTTTTTTTTTTTGTGGTTTGCTTGCTCAAAAATGTGTAACGAACCTTTGGAGCATCTCATGGCATGACCTATCTCTTACAAGTGCGTCTCCTACGAGACTGTGGGCGAACAAATCCTTGATCAGGGTAAGCCGGTTGCGGATTGTTGGTTACATGAGTTGGTAGCCAGTTACATGATGGTCTGGATCTCCTTTCCAATCGAACTAGTTTTGAAACTTAGGGAGAATGAAACTTGGAGGGATATCATCAAATACTTCCAAATATGACTCAAAAAGCATGTTATCATGCCTAGTTGGACCGGCTGGGTTGCTTGTTGGGTGGACAAGTGGGGGCTAGTATGGGTTGAGGATGAAAGGTCGATAATGGCAGTACATAGGCCATGGGCGGTGGTTGGTGGAGAGGTTGTTAGTGGCCGGGTTGGCTAGGGCTAGGGCTGGCCATAGTTAGAATGCAAGTTTTATTTGCTATTGGTTGGCCATGGCTGCTAGATGGGGATCAGCTGGCTGCTGAGCCATGCTCGAGTCGCCTGTTGAGGGCTCGTAAGAAGGGAGTTGATCAAAACTTCTGTGGCATGGTCACCCTCAACCAAGGCATTGGTTGGAGATAGAGGGGGAATAACGCTATGGCTACACGGCTAGACCAATGGCTAGAGGCCCGACTGGTGCCCTTACTTCTAGTTAGAGGTTCTAGGTTTGGTGAGTGGAGTGTCATCTCTTGGTTTTTGATGTTAACCCGGTTGGACAGACTAGGTCAAGGTTGCTTAAGGTGTGAGGGTCAGTTTGGGCTTTGACCATTTCGGCATTTTTGGGGTTCGACTCCTAAATCTTGGAGAATTTCCCCTAGTCTAGGACCTTTTCAAGGTATTTCTTGTGGTCATACAAACTCGATGATCTGGAGTTCTGAGTTGGTGGTCATGAGGACTACGCATCTGGTGTTTGGGGATTCTGGTAATGGTATCATATGGACCCGGGACTTAATTCATCGTTGCTAGTTTGGTGGCTCCAAGGAGCATGAGAATAATGCCCCTCAAACCGGTGGTGGGATGTCCGTAACCAATGCCAGAAAGAGGTTGTAAGTTCGGCAGCTGAGCCGGACCTTAATCTAATGTGGTCATAGGACATGGTCTTAATCTAGGCAGAGCACCACACAAAAGACTGAAGGTTCTGACCAGATCTTGGGCCATCCTAACTAAGGGTAAACTTTCAAAATGATGTAGGGTATCAAGGTATGTTCACCTTTTTTCCAAATCATTCTTGTAAAGGGCTATATGATTAAAGTATTAAAGTACGGGTCTAATAAAATTTGAAACTCAAAAAATGGTACAGATCTTGCGATCTATATACGCTTACTTTTAAGGCGAAATGAATAGTTTAAGATAATTTGTTACAATATACATTATTTTTAGACTTAAAATCCTACTCTTTTTTTCTTTTTCTTTTTTTTTATTTTGTTTAACTTTCAAATTTCATTTATTGGTGATGGAAATTGATTTTAAAACCATCATTGAGATATTTGTTGCCGAAAGTGCTTTCCGGATAAAGATTTGAAGTGAGGCTTTATTTTGTTTTCACAAAGCCTAAGCCTTATAGAAACCTCATCCCGGCACCTGAAGGATTTGATACATCAGATGCGTACCAGGGCAGTCAATCAAAGAATGGACAATGGATTATGTCTTCCAACATCCACCAATGAATAGGGCTTATGGTTGTGATTTCCCTCTCGTGTACCATGCACGATACTTTAGCAATATTTTGCGTGACTTGAAGGGGGGGGCAGCCCAGCCCTGTGGCCCAAGGGCTAGGTCGGGCAACGAAAGCCTAAGGGTAGAGTCCAGGTGAACTTCGTGGCTCGAGGTCTAGACTAGGGCTGGGCAACCACAGTATGAGAGTAGGGCTTGGCCTTAGCCAAAGCCGGCTCGATTCCGCCTAACCTAGCTTAACACTTTTTTTTTCTTTTGTTTTTCTTTCGATTTTACTTGACATAGCCTATCCCTCATAGGGGCTAGCTTTTTCGCATGGCAACAGCCAGGCCAAGCCTGAGCATAGCTACTGGGAACGCCCCTAGAGGGCATGGGGGCATGGTTCTGGTTCTAAAATCCAAATCTTGTGCTCCAAAAGCTACGATCTTGACCGTGTTTTCTTTTTGGGAGAGCTCGCACCTTTTTTCACAATCTCAATTCCTTGTTCTCAAAGACCTGGACCCCCCAATCATAGTGGTCGATCTCTATATTTGTAAATCTTGAGGATCGTGATCCCTCGATTCAGAAAATCTCGCTCTCTGTACTTGTGGATCACCATTCGTATCGGGATCTCCATCCCTATATCATATTTGTGGATCTCCGTCCTTTTCGGGATCTAGATCCTATATTATGTTTATGGGTGGATCTCCATCCTAATCGTGTATTAATCAAGAATTAAATTACTTGAGATTGCTAAGCAAGTTGAAAAATGTATAAACCAAAGAATAAAAATTAGTAAAACATTCAACATGAGAAGATGGAACCCATTTGTTGTCCAATAGGATCTAGTTTCCATGGGCATTAAGATTGACAATGGATCGAGGTCCCAACTTATACAGATCACGGTCCTTAGATATTTGAGATTGAGATCCCATTAAAAGTGGGAAAAGCGGTCCTTGAAAAATAAGATCCGGATCCCATAACCATGGGAGCGAGATCGCGTATATGTGGGATCTAGTGGGATTTAGTTCCAAGCTAGATACCCTCTACAGAGCACATTCCGAAAGTGCCGAAGCTTCAAACACCCTTGGATCCAACATTCCAGCTCCCAACCCTGGAGCCGTACTCGCTCCGGTTTCCGATAACCATAGGCCCCCTATTGAGACTAGGGCCGGGCTAGGGCTAAGGCTAGGGCCAGGGGCGGCCAGGCTGGGACCCCTAATTGATGCTCCTACTACAACTTCGCTCTTCAGTCTATAATTATTTGACCAAACAAATTTCCATACAGATATTCAAATTCATAAATACTTCTCAATTCCTAACAAAGTATGGTGAAGTCTTACTAATTTTCGTTGTACATTATTACTCAAATATTTACAAGGATGACCAGCAAAACCAAAACAGTTAATTAAAATACTGTTCCAACACACACACACTGTTCATCCCCTTTACATAAAAGGGCCTAACATACTAAACTGAAATGGGAAGAGCAACCCTAACATAAATCAATTGTAAAGAACCTCCTATTTCTTTTGCTCACCTTCTACGCCTGTGCAGTCTCGAGCTATTCCGCCAACGGGCCTCCAATATATTCTCTTTCATACGAGCTCAAATGGTTCGGACTCCACTTTTTGTTAGCTTTTTGGGTTTCAAAACAATAGCAATTCAACTACATAAGTTTATGGCCACCAGGACTACAATTACGTGAATAGTTTGAAATGAATAGTATAGTGAGCAATGGTATTTGAACTATATTAATTATATAAATTTGGTCACGATAACTCACATAATTTAGGCTAATAAAATACTTCTATGAATAGTAAAGTGAATAGTATTATGCAAATGCATAGTGATATGTAGGACCATCCGAATACAATATATCAAACCACAATGTGCGATTGTGTGGCTTGGGAGAAGCACACTTAGTTTTCACAACTTTTGCAACAGTTGCAATGAATAGTGTTGTGACCAATAGTATTTGAATGATATTAATTATATAAATTTATGGTCACTAGAACTCACATAATATTAATATATAAATTTGTGGTCAGCGAGAACTCACATGAATAGTAGAGTGAATAGTATTGCATTTATTATGAATAGTATAGTGAATAGTATTGCATTTGTTATGCAAATAATAAATAGCACCATGTGCGTGGTATGGTCTGGGAGAACGAGAACCACGCTCAGTTTTCACAACTTTTGCAATAGTTAAATGCGTAAGTAAAATGACATGTCATTTTAGTGAGGGTGTGGTTGCCTACCTTCAAACAGTCTTATGTGGTTTCAATAAAATCTTTGCCATAGCCTTGAAATATATTTTTAAATTTATTTATAAAGTTTAATGCTTTAAAAATAATGTAGACCTGACGAATAATATTGAAAATTGATGGTCAAAAAATACATTACAAAATATACTATTTTCAAAAACTCGTTTTCTCATATCTACGATAGTGTAGATCGACAAATAATATTGAGAATTGACGGTCAAAAAGTACATTACAAAATACACTATTTCCAAAAACCATTATTTTCTCATATCTATACACGATGGTCAATTTAAAGATATTTGGGCATTAAAACAACCTCTTTTATTGAAAATTTCGAGGTAGGCTCTCATTTGTATGTTTAGAGTCTCTGCTCAACATAAACTTAAGTTATGAATAGTAAAATGAATTTAATAAGATGTTGAAATTTTTTGGGCCACACGTTACTAACGTTAATATATAAATACCAACTGAATCTTGAGAAAGGAAAAAAAAAAAAAGGGTGGATTAAAATTCTCTCTAAGCTTCCAGTAAAATACAAAGAGCATTTCAATGTATTTTGACTCGTACGTTTTGGTTCTAAAAGCTCCTATTACACAGGATCATCGAGATACTCTTATTTGGCTCCCTCCATGTTTCGCGTTATTCTAGCAACATGTAACGCTGACCTAACACAAGTTTCCGTTACAATTTTCATTTTATTTTTTAGGGTAAACTAGATTAGTGTTCCCAATTGACGTTTTATTTTTTGGGGTAAAATATTATTTAAAAAAAAAAATATTTTTTGTAGCAAAAGATTTGCTTTTTTTCAATCGACGTTTACCGGTTTCATATATTGGTATTCATAAATTGTAGTTTAATACATAGAAGGATAGTACTATGATTTGGTTGAATCAGTGCATTATCCGGGACATGTTTGCACCTCATAATTTTACTAAAGGTGCCTAACATTTTGAATAATGCGAGAGCGTATCATACCTCAAAGTCAACCCCAATAATTTGGAAAAAATATATATAATTTATTGCAGTGAGACCCCAAATAACCAACGTTTTTCACCTTCAGTGGTCCCTGAGGGTGGCGAGACTTGTTTTTGCTGCTCTCCTGCTTCATGGCGCTTGTGCTCATGTGATTTACGTGAAGATGTCCACTCCTTGGCTTCCTCTTTGGCATGTTGATCCTTGTGTTCTTCGGTGACTCTGTCAACATTTTCTTGGGGCTTCTCTTCTCGGCTAACAGTAGTAGGCTCTTTGAATTTGACTTGTGAAGCCTGAGCTCTCTCTGCAACCGTTTCCTACAATCAGTGGGTAGCTCTATTGAGAGCTCTAATGACAGCGGAGAGAGGAGGGAGAGGGAGAGGGAGAGCGAGAGCTCACCTTAGCCTGGGACGCTCTCTGTCTGGTATACCCCGTGACAGACTCCTGTGCACTCCGAGCGGTGTCCTTTGCCTCGCCATCCTTGGCACACTCCTTTGCTTCCTCCACCGCAAGCTCCTTCGCCGCCCCTCCCACTATCCCGACCACATAATCCTTGACCTTCCCCGCATATTCCTTTGCATCACCTGCCTTCTGCGCCCCATAACCCTTCACGCAGCGTCCTGCAGCCATCCCCACATCGGCTGCTCTGTCCCTGGCCTCACACGCCTTCTGCCCCACATACTCCCCTGCACTCCTTCCCTTATCCACCGCAGTCGCACCAACGTCCGCACCGAGAGCCATGGCCTTGTCTTTGACCACCACCGCATACTGCAGGGCCGAGCCACCTGCGTGGCTGGCTGTGTTCTGGGCCTCGCTTTTGGTGCTGGCGGCATGGTACTTGGCCTTGGCGTAGTGTGCTTCAGCAGCCATGATGGCCTCCATCGAGTTTTGCCGCATGGCCTGCCGGTATCGTCTCAACTCGTCCACCGAGCCACGTTGTTCGCTCGTGGCCTGGTTTCCCTCGCTCGAAGCATCGCTCCCCGCTTTATCTGAAGCCATTGCCATTGCCACTCACTCTTCGTAGCTTCAGTGATTTACGTTGTAGACTCGGCAGCGAGCGGCGTTTAAGGAGGATGGTGACTCGCCACGAGGCGAGTTAGGGGTGGAGGTGGCGAGAGGAGAGGGAATGACACCTCCCTGAATCGACACGTTTCATTGACAGGCCACGTCGGACTGTAAACTGAAGAGGCCCCTCCCTACCTGTGTCTCATAGTCCCTCGTGCCCACCGAATCCTAAACCCGTTTTCGCCGGCCACGGAAAAGATCAAAATAAAATAGGAGAGAATTTTTGGTAGGGACTTGTCCGTATTTTTTTTAGATATTCTAGTTACACTTTTGTAGTTCACAGTTTTCCAAAAGTTTATGATCCGGATGTTTTATTAGGGTGTGGTTTCTATAAGGTTGTAACTTTGCCGCACATCTAAATTTTATCATGTAACTTCGGTGTAAAATTTTTTAGGGTTATCTCAAAATCTATTGTAAATTTCAAAAATAGTTTTAATCAAATAAATATGTAAACAAATGAAAATCTTAAAAATAGACGGTCTAGATAATGTATTGTAAGATGCATTATTTATGAAACTCAATTTTTTTTTTTTTCATATTCATATATCTCATTGTTGAGATGATCAATTAGAAGGTTTTTCAACATCAAGACAACTTTTTTCGATAGATTTTTAAAGTACAAATATAATTTTATATTTTAAAATTACAACTTTATATGAACTTTTTCTTTTCTTTTTTTACTCTATATTTTTTTCTAAATTTGCTCTTGGTTCCATGTTATCCGTATTGTATCCCTTTTATTTATTTATTTATTTATTTTTCCCACATCTTTGGACAATCCAATGCATAAGATATTACATAGTAACAATTCTAAGATGGTTTGATGATAGCAACATTGAATGCCTATATTGAGCTTTTTCCTCTAAGATGTACCGGTCGAATGCCTATATTGAGCCTTTTTTCTCTAAGATGTACCGGTCTTGAAACATCACGCCACTTCTAATTTATTAAAAAATAAAAGGTTGGGTGATTTGTATCTCTAACGTCGTCCTAAACATGAATTAAAGCGGTCTATGCAAACAAATAAAAATAAAAATAAAAATAAATCATAGGGTGGTCCAGTCTTATCAGCGAGCCGTCTAATGAACCACCCCATGAATGGGGTGATCTTATCCACCGGACCGCATCACAAATGCCAAAAAAAAGGTAAAGAATGAAAAAGAAAGTAGTTCGTTATTTGCAACATCTAATAGAGGACAAAATAATTCAATTTTTGTCAAATTAAAGAATAAATATAAATCCATAAAGAATTTAATAGAGGACAAAATATTTCAATTTTTAGCCTAAAGAATAAAATATAAATCCATAAAGAATCAAATATGAATGGCAACAAAATTATCATGTTTTAGAAAAAAAAATTATAGAAAAATTTTGATTGAAGGTGACTCCCTAAAATGTTATAAATTTATACAAGCAGGAGCAAAAAATCCCTTTGCCTCTTCATGTTTTTTAACAGAAGATTTATGGTATTTGCTCCTCATCGGGGCTTCGGGTCTCCTTTCTTCATGTCCACCGAGAACCCAACGACTTAGTGGATTGCCTTGCCAAATTCAGTGCTTCTTTACCTTCGTTGCCTACTTTTTATTCCAGCAATGTAACTCACGCCTTCGCATCATGTATTCAATAAAACCTCCTAATAAATTGCCATCCTTTAATAATATTATGATCCTATTCAACATAAAGAAACTACGAAGAAAATCATGAGTCTCAATTTCAAAACTTTTGAATAAAGAATTAAAAAATCGGTACCGGTTGCAATAATGAAAATTATGAAACTGGAAAATATCAAGATAATGATAGAGGTAGAGAGCCCTAACAGTTATTACGACAGTGAAAAAAGTTGCGGCAATAGAAGGCGTCCTAGATGTGATCACTGCAACAATATGAAAGGATGAGCTGTCAATATTACCCACTCTTAAGACCCACTAATGACAGGACACCCAACAAATCTACTGCTCAGACCACAATTACTCAAACCCATCACTACAACTATGATATTTGTCAGCAACCAAATAACATGAGTAGTTTTACCTCTACACAAGATCATTTCCTCCTCCCATAATATAGGTAATCTTTATGGTTTCATGGTTTCTTGTGGCACTTTTTTTTGGATAATTAACTTAGAGGCCACAAATAATATGATTAATAATTTACAGTGCATATCCAAATTAAAAAACAACGGGAATATGGACAATGTGTCTATTACCAATGGTTCTTTGATTAATGTTCATGGTGTTGGGAAAACCATTTTTTTTCCTAAGTATCATAGCTCTAAAGTTCTGTTGATGCCATTTTTTCCCTCTAACTTGATGTCTGTTAGAAAAATTACTCGGTGCATGAACTGCAATGTTATTTTTTTCCCAACTCGGTGACTTTTCAGGACCGAGCTATGAGGAGGAGATTAGTGAAAGGAGATTGTCTAATGAGCTATACATATTTAATAAGGAGAATAAGGCTTTGATTGCCGGTCAAGAAAACTTTGATATCAATAAATTATGGCATTGGAGATTTAAACACAATTTAAATAAAGTTTTGAAAATTTTGATACCTTCATTATCTTTAAACTCTCATTCTTGTGAAGTCCATAAATTCTTATAACAGAGAATACTTCATTCCAAGTTTGCATATTTCAAAGGAACCCTTTTTATTTGATACATTATAATAGGTGGGAACCAGCCCCAGTTGATTCTTATATTGGTTTTAAATAGTTTATTAGTTTTATTGATGATTAATCTCGTGCTACTTGGATATAGTTTTTGAAATAAAAACTAGAAGTTTTATACTTTCAAAGAATTTTTCAATATGATTTCCAATCAATATAATACTAAGATTAGAATTATGTGTACCGATATTCTCACAAAATATGTGAACAAAGTTTTTTCTAAGAATTTATGTGATCTTGACATTATACACCAAACATCTTGTGTTAGGACACCTCATCGGAATGGAATTTCTAGATAGAATAATACATTTTTTGGAAGCTACCAAGTTTTTAATGTTTTAGATGCATCTTCCAAAAATTTACTGATCTGAAGCTGTTTTAACTTCTTGCTATTTGATTCATAGAGTTTTGCATAAAATTCTTAAGGACAACCGTCCCTTTGAATGTACATAAGGGTAAACACAACATAATTTTTTTTGATAAACATGCCTATAGATGTATCTTTCTTGGATACTCCTCTACTAAAAAAGATGCAAATATTATGATCCCGCAACGAGAAAAATATGTGTTTTTTAAAATATTTAATTTGTTGAAACATAGTCTTATTTCAAGGACACCCTAGAAAGTGGTTTGGAAAATAGAACTTAGTGTGTGTGTTCTAGAGGTTGTTTAATAGAACTTAGTGGGTATGTTCCAGAGGTTGTTTACCCCTTGCTTAATATTAGTACCAGTGGTGTGCTCAACATAATTGGAACAAGTTATGATGATCAAGCTGAAGATGAAAATGCCTATGAAACTCACCAAGCTAGTTTAGATGCAAAAGACTCCAAGATGGCCCCACCTAATCCCCGTTGCATAGATCTTCTCATATCTCTCAATCTTCTTTTAAGCTTCAAGATTTTTATACATACCATGTAGTTTTTCATCATGATCAAAATTATATTTCTTATAAAAATTTATCCCAGTTATTTTGCTTATTTGAGTTCCATTTTAGCACAGGAAAAATTGAATCGAAACGATTAACTAGACATGGATCAGAAGTGGTTCAACCGACCTAACTGCTAAACCAACCAGTTCAATCGACCTAACCAGGCAAGTCCCAAAGATTAAAAAAAATAAAAATAAAAATATAATAAAATATGAAAAATATATTTAAAACATGATTAAAAAAAACACTTTAAATTGAAAATTAATGAAAAAAAATATTTTAAATAATCAATTTATACCTCGAGGTATTTTAAAATTGTCTAAAAAAAGATAAAAATGTCAAAATGAGAATGGCCAAAACAATTTCGAATCTTTGCCAAATGATAAAAAAATATTTTAAAAAGCATTACAACATAATCCCTTATGTTTTGATATTTTATATAATGTTTCTAAATTTTTTTTAAAAAGACTCGACCTATTCACCAAAACTGGCCGAAATCAGAACCGGCTAGTTCCGATCTAACTAGGTCAAACCGGCCAGTTAGAATTTGAACCGCTTGATTTTTCCTACACTATTCCATTTATAATAATTCTGAGCCAACCAGATTTCAAAATGTTATTTCTCGACCTATACAAAAGAATACCATCAAAGAGGAACTTCAGGCACTGGACAAGAACCAAGCTTAAGAAATTGTCAAGTTACTTCAAGAAAAAAAAGTTGTTGGGTGTAGATGGGTTTTTAAACTCAAATACAATAGTGATAGCTATTAAGAGGCATAAATCCAAGTTGATAAACAATGATTTACCCAAACTTATAGAGTTAGATTATAAATAGACTTTTACACCAGTCGCAGTTAATTGTGGATGGTCTCTACATCACATAAAAGTTAAAAAATGCCTTATTCTATGGTGCATCCCAAAAAAAAAAACAAAAATCTTGTATGCAAATTAAAGAAGATCTCGTATGGATTTAAAAAATCGCCGCCCACATGGTATGCTAAACTCAACTGGCATTGAGTTTTTTAAAAGTTAAAGTTGATTATTTGATGCATATAAAAAAAAGAATGTTAGGTACAACAGTTATACTCACTAATGTGATTGATATCATCATTATAAGTAACGATAAAATAATAATAATAATAATGAAGCTTAAAAATTTTCATAAGAACTAATATATTTTTTTGGCATTGAAATAGCACATAAAAAAAGGACATTTTTTTTCCAAAAAAACGTTTTAAATTTGTTGAAAGAAACTGAAAAAATGAGAATCAGACCCATTGATACCCATGTTGATCTGAATTACTGAGTAATGGCAAAGCTCTTGAAAATGTAGGCTGCTTTCAAAGACTTGTTGAAAAATTGATTATTTGACTGCCACATAACCAAACATAATGTATGTAG